CTTTAAAAGTTTATCACTTTTGCAAGCTGTTAGAAAACTACTGTACAGATTTGAATAAAATAAATGCATAATTGTAGAGAAATATGTCTCCCTTATACTTTCTAAAGATTTTAACTGAATATAACGAGCCATTATAAAGAGGATCACCGAAACTAGGTCAAACTGCTTAAAAAAAATATTAGTACTCTAAGTTTTAAATTAACCCTTTTAAAACAAATTCAATTTGATCAAGCCACTACATAGATAAAATAAGCATATTTTGGAATATGTTCAGGTATAATTTACGATGTTTTTGATAATGAAAATGTTTTACAAAAAAAGTGAAATGCCCCTTGAAGATGTTCATAATGACAAAGTTATCATCAAATCTAGGGCAATAATACTTAATTAGAACATCCTACTATTACCGAGGATTCGAGGATGACCAAACACCCAAACAGCAGATGTGTTTAATAGTTAGATTCAATTAAGAGCAGCATAAATCATAATGATTAATTTGTCAAGATTCAAAAGAAAATGTGCATTGCAAAAACAATCATTTCCCTTACTCAAGAGCTTCAATTCCAAATATCACCACAAGTTGTAATCGATTTAATATTGTAGCTTCTATTGTGCTCACAAACAAATTATCCAATATCTCATAAATAATCAGATCAATTTCATCCAAATTCTTTTCGTTTTATTGTAGAAACTGAACAATTTTGACAAGTTTTTACTAAGTCAAGGGCAATAACTTAAAACTGTTTGACTATCTCAACAATACTTAATAAAAAATAGAACAGAATTCAAATATCTGCTCTAGTTTGGGAAAACATGGATGTTTTTCTCAGTATGAGCAAAATAGTTTTTAGTTTCTTAGTATGTTTTACGACTTAAACCAACAGTTCCACCCACATGCATGTTTGTTTTCTGTGTAATCAGCTAAGATCAGGGCCAATGCAGCAGTAGTAAACGTAAATGTTGTTCGGTACCTGAATCCAGATCGACCTTTACTGAGATCCATAACCGCTTTAGCACTAGTTGGAAAGTTATTTGAATCTCTGTCATGTCCAGTTTATATCTTCAACTTCCAGGTATATCCAAATGCAGGACCCTTCGCTTGGCTCAATTTAAAAACTTTATACCAAATCTTGCAGACTTAGATTAATTGTATTGTTTGAATCCAAGTCTAACATAAAACTTCATGTCTGATTCACCAATCGCAATATCCTGTGATGGTGTGTAAGCTGATTTTAATTTCTTATTCAGAATGTCAACAACAGGTCAAATTTTAAACAGTCTATCAATGCCTTCATCTTCTTCATCATAGTTAAACTGGTATATAAGCATATCCGTCATGACTCATGGGGTATAATATAGACTAGGGAATAAGGTGTTTTAATCTTCAATCCATCTCTCAATTTTTGGCTTACATACTATAGGCTACCAATCGAAATCGTTTTCTGGTGTGGATGTTGCATGTGCAAAAACATAATTTTCTGCCAAAGCACTTCACACATAAACTCATTGAAAATTTCCAGAGCAGAGCTGTCTTCATTCAGGTTATCTAGCTCACAACCATACAGGCTTATTGTCGACTTCCATTCAACCGGATTATTAGGCCAACTTTCGATTTCTTCATTAGAGCTATCAACAACTATGTAATTCACACTAGCAACGTTGATTCTAATTCTTCACCACTTCGATAGGATGCATCATCGCTGCCTTCACTTGAGTCACCCTCCTCTTCTGACAACGATCCAGAGTCTACTAACTTATTTCTAATCTTATTTTCATCCAAACTGAATTTTCGTTTGTTACTTAACACCATGATGGAAAGGGAGACAACTGTCTCTTACATCCTCAAATTCTTTTAAGGCCTAAACAAAACATTAGGATGTTCTGGAGTAAGCTTATGGAATTGAAAGACTCAAACCAACAACACCAAGTGGTGAAAACTGAAATTTTAAGTAGACCAGACCATAGATGGCCCTTTCAAAATAGCATTAAATCGAACTAAATTTTTTATCCCTTCAGTATGGTAGCATGAAAAGCTGAAATATTCATAATATCCAAATTGACTATCTCAAGGACATGTCAGAAAAAATCAAAACTCAAACATATGCCTTAGTTTAGGAATTATGCCATTTGAGAATTAGGCCTATTACTGAAAGTGATCAAAACATCCAAAAGAAATTATTTACACTCACAATTGCATAATAACAGTCGAATAACCTAATTTCCTACTAACCTACTTTTCGTGCATCTCCACGGAAATGATTAATAATTTACATGTGCGACCTCGTGCAACCTCAGGGTGACAACATGGGTTGTCTGCACACTGTCAGCTAGTAGAATGAATCTAGTAGTTTCAAGCAAGGTAAATGTATTAATGTATACTTTTATAAACAAAATGGAGTTCAGTTATTACTAAATATCACAATTTTTCCGCCGAATTTCCTTATAATCCCAAGTTGTAATAGGATTTCCAAGTGTCGTCTGCTAGAATATATTCAAGCGAACGACATCACGTGAAAAAATTCTATGGAACATAATGTGGGTCATATTCTTATGTAGTTTCAATGACTTTTAGCTATAAATCACTCTTACGTTTCACATATCTAATATTTTGTCAGTCACTATTTTTTTTTTAAATCATTGTTCTTTGAAGGAATTGTCATCAGTTATAATAAATTCCTATTAAAGATAAAAACTAAGAAAAGTTAATTATACCACTGGGTATCCATACAATGGGTTTTTCTCGACTTATTTATAGATCAAACATTGTACATGAAAATAGGTGACGCATTTTGCCGCCGTTGTCGAGTTGGTTACTCATGAAATATGGGCCAAAGTGGGGAGATTCATAAAGAAAATTGAAACAAACCAATTCAATTAATTTGTAGAATATCTGAGGAACCTTCTAAGACATAAAACAAAAATTTGCGTTTTTTAACTTCGACAAAATTCGGTTTTGAATCCTTATATGCACGCATAGGCCTATAGGTTATACCACTACAGTATATCACCCACATCTTGTTCATTTCCTTCCAATGAGACCATAGGGACATTCAATTTTAAATGCATCCCAGAAAGCTGAAATTTACAAGGCATAGTACACTATACAAATTGACTACTCACTCATATTCATGAGAGGAAATAACTTTATTTAACCTAATTTCTTACCCTAATAAAGAGTGAATATTATTCTTATCATTATTACCTTCATGTCATACAATAAAGCCAAATTCTACACGCGATAGTTTGAATATTTTTCACATGACAAGAACTGTCAACAACTATTCCTATTTTGAACATGAACATGGATAGTTAGTAAACAATCTGATATAGAATTAAGATAAATAAAACCGATTATTTACCTGTGGAGAGAGAAATAAAACGTTAAATTACAAGAAAAGGTCTATTTTTTTTTAAATCAGAAGAAACTGAATGAGTGTCCTAAGCAGAAGAGTAATTATCTCCCTTTACTAGTATACAGTCTAACCACAATGCTTCAGATCACAGTTAATTTATCTCTTGGATACGTTTATTTAGCTAACCACCGTAAGTCACTCTTGACCTTCGAAACCGGTGGATGTAATGGTCCGAACAAATTTTCAGAATTGACCTCATAAAAAATACATCAAAATCGAAACTAGAATTCCGATAAATTTGGTAATAACAGGAGATGAATATTTTTCTTAAACTGCACTAGTTTAATATGGGAAGAGGTCATCACTCGCCGCTCACAATTATAATTACAAGTACATATCTCTTATTCATGACATGTGATGAAAAGTAGGATGTAAAACTCCAATCACACTTCATTTCTAATTCATGATAACTGTCAAAGTTTCTGTTCGTTTGAATTTAACTTTTTTTTTTAAAAGAATACATGGTTTACTGCTGTATACAAATATTCCCCAATTTTCATTTAATTAATTCATACTTTTTAATCTAAAACTGCACGAAGCCATAGTAAACAGAAGTGAGAGTTTAGCAACTTAGCTAACTAGGAGTTACAGTGGCTGTGTCAGCCTTCCAAAGTACAAATATGGGTTCAAAAAGGGAAAAGACTGACTTCATGGGCATTGAAGGGGGCTATGTCACTGAGCGACTGGAGATTCAACCAAGCTGTCACAGTAATCACTACGACTTGCACAATACGATTGGCCTAACATATTCATCGATCAAACCTCAAACCTGTCCAAGGCATCAAGAACCTACCTATACAAATCATCAAAAAAATCATATCCAACCTGTCCAAGTTTTGTGAAAATCAAACAGAAACAGTAATCTCTGTGTGAAAATACAAAAGTCAAGACTATTTTATTCAAGAGTAACAATTCAGGTTCTTGCAGATCTTGTCAACTTACTGGTCCTTGCTCACTGTATATTGGTCTGGCCTGCTTGGCGAGTGGCAATGGCCATTTCTATACAAATCACCAAATCCATCAAATCTAACCTGTCCAAGTTTTGTGAAAATCAGACAGAAACAGTAGTCTCGGTGTGATAAATCCTTGTGAAAATACAAAAGTCAAGACTATTTTTTTCAAGAGTAACAACCCAGGTTCTTGAAGATCTTGTTAACTTCATATTTACAGAAAGGTTGACTAGAATCAATTCTTAAAAATCATCAGTATTGTTTTTGCCATTTTAACATACAACCAATAGCCATCATTTGTTTGAGAGAAAACCAATGAAGTCAAGATTCCAACACTCTAAAGAATGAAGTACAGTCCTCACAATGTTTGAAATTTGAGATCTTACTAAACAATATTTAAGGCTTCCATTTAGTACCATTTGTTAGATTAGTAACATTTACGTCAAGATTCCAAAACTTTAACTAAATGAGCTACATTCAGTCTAAAAAGGTGTGTAAGATCAACTTACCAAAAATGGGTGGAGGATTCGCCCTACATCTTCATCTGTTCCTCTTCATCTGTTCTTCATCTGTTCCTCTTCATCTGTTCTTCATCTGTTCCTCTTCATCTGTTGGCGCGCGCCGCTTCTTCTGTTCTTCATCTGTGAGTAGGAGGATCTGTAGGGTCATACAGGCCATGGCCCCAGAACACTCCTATTGTGGCAGTGCTATAGTGGGTAGGTAAATTACCAGAAGATTCACCCTTTCTAACCTGAAATGGATTGAAACAATAATAGTAACGAACCTTCACATCACAGATCTGTTGCCATAACAAGGAAACAACTAGCTGTAGCCAACACAGCAGTGTTCTTCAGCCACGTTTCATCAAAATAATTCAAAACTACTTTAGACTTTAAAATTATTTTCCAAACACCGAAACTTGCTAGTACTTATCATTCTGGAATGTTCACAAAGAACATTGACTTACAATATAGATATAGTCCACTTAGTCCATAAAATACAAGTTGAAGATACGCTTTATTTTAAGCGTGTTTGTAAAACATGAGCTAATTTCGGATATAAATATGTGTCATATTTCATTACATTACATTAGATTTTACTAATTCTGTTCATCGACTGATAAACAACTTTTAATTTCCATTTCAAAATATATAAATTACTAATTGTTATATAAACCCTGTTGAGTTAAATATTACTTCTACAAAATTTGTAGATAAACTCTTACTTTATCTTAAACAATTATCATATTGTTTTTCTATCACTTTATTTATATCAGATGACAGCTTATTTTCGTAATTTTTTGTTGATTACATAGATGTACTGAATTGATGTCATAACTAATGTAACTACGGTCCATACATCTGTTTATATAATAGTATAACTTTTTCGAGAACTAAATATTGATAACATTTAGATAAATCTTAAAGAAAATTATTTGAAACTTTATGAAATTATGCAAATTTATACTATGTAAATACATTTTGTGTTTTTCAGAAAATAGAAGCACTTTGCTCAAAGACAGACGACGAATAGAATCTTTCAACGATAACTTGTAATAAAATTATGAACTGTTGTTGTTATTGCATCTCGTCATTTTTAGTGTAACCTGGACTTTTCCGATACTCAGCGGAACAAAAAGTGTAGGTGTATCAGAAAAGTGTAGGTGTATCACAAAAAGTGGAGGTGTATCGGATAATAACCTACACTAAAGATTAAAGGGTCGAGAAAAAATGTATTTAAGAATGGAATACCACCCACTCTTAGTTCAGAGTTCCCTAAAAGTGTACTCTTCAAGGGATACCGAGTTGTCATAACGTGTTCTAGATTGAAAACATGGAATAAGGTGATGTTTTACGTTTTTCGTTTCTGCATCTGATAGGGCTAATGTGAACATACAACAACATGTAGTGTGTAATGTAATTTTGTCAGGGAAGTAGTACATGTTTTCCATGTTCAACAGTCGACCGATCTTTCGGATGCACAAACTGTAGCACACTGATTCACCAAGCGTCCCGCGTCATGTTTTAACCATTTGACATTATGAATGATATGCCAGAACAGGCGTTAACAGAATTTCTAAAATATGATAATTTGAAACTTACACGAGGAGCTTCCATGCCACACCATAAGCACTTTATTCATATATATTGAAGCTCTATCTGTATACACCTAAAATTAGAAAAATTAAACAGAACCTCAAAAATCATGTCGTTTCAATACAATAACAAAATACTTTCACTGTTGAAATAGTGCTCAATATTTCAATTGTATAGCGATCTAGAAATGCACTCCTAAAATTAGATATTTAATATGTTATTTATTTTATCACAGAATACAATATACTGTACATTTTCACCCTAATCAATCTTGACAGTCCGCAATTAGATAGTTTGTTGCAATCAACATCATGGCGGGCTTGTGCAGGTTTTTTTTTTATCAAGTAATAGTCTGAGACCTGTTGATTTCTACCTAGTTTTAATAGGGACAATTCAGAAAAAAAATTAGGATTTTTTCTCATTGCCATAGTCAAGGTGTTTTCATCTGAAACCAATCAAGAACTGATCCCCATACTTGGCATTTCATTGTCTATGTTTCAAGTTGCGCAACACCCCTGCGGGGAAATTCCTCCACATAAAAAACGTAATTTTACTAGCTTATGCTAACTGATCCGACTCATCTTTATTGAATAAAGGTGATTTAATTTGCTTATCTAACCCCTGATCCTTCAAGTCCTTAATCCCATCAATGATTTAAATTAATTCTCAACCAGATTCATTGGAAAATTGTGAAAGAGATGATTCTGTATAGCTATACCATATGAGACACGACTTGTAATTGGCTTCAGAAAGTGGGATTTATTTCTACTAAATCAAAGGTTATATATAAAGAGAACTCGCACACCTTTTCTAAATCAACTAGGTAGAAGTCAACAAATATCTGAATATTATAAAATGAAATTGACTTACCGCCCTTTGTTTCAAGAGAGGCTGGGTGGACATGATATGGCAGCTTAGCCGAGTACAACCTAGGTGGCCCTAGCAAGGTAGCCCACAGGCTGCCACAACTAAACTACACGCGAGCCCAACCCATAAACGCGAAAATTTTGCTCCTTGAAAGCTACCTCAAAAAACCTAGGTTGTACACCAAATCTAACCATGTCGTCCGTAGCTAAAGACGAGCTACTATACTTGAAACCCTGAAATATAAGAAAATAATAAAATAAACTTTTTGTTTTACATGTGTAATAAATTTGCTCATTAAAACTGATGTATGAACATAAATGTCAGTGGTACTGACCAGGATATAATTCATTATTTTTCTTTTCTGATCAAACTCACTTCAAACTATCTGTAATACTTTTCAGAATCACAATCTAAAAGGTTGGTTCAATCATTTAGTAAGCAAAATTGTACCAATGGAAGATTCAGTTGTTATCACTTGCAGGTGTCTAGTAAAACCCTCACATGTAGCTAGTATCATATGACCTTTTCATGATATCTGTTGCATCAAAGGTTATCAGGCTACATTGAACATTCTTGATACATCATTTAAAGAAAGGATTATACGCGCACGGTTTATTTGTATAGTGCTCAAGTTTATACCCTTATAATGTACATCTATGATATACTAACCTCCACGGGGATGGTATCCCAACTATGGTGTATTAACTCAATAGTAAAAGCCACTATTGAGCACCCTGGCCTGAAACGAAAAGACAAAATCATCAAAATCTAAATGTTATCGATGTGTTCATTTGACAGATAGTGGCGAAGATGTGTAACATATTAATATTATGTTGAATAGTTATACGCATCCTTTTTGAAAAAAACTGTTCTTCTGTAATTACATTTTAACTTAACCATTACACTGGTTAAAATGGTTTCCCCCATGGTCGTCAGGCACATAAAGAAACTTGGACTATTTATATAGACATTTAGGGAATTATGATGAAGAGATGTTATGAAGTGGATTATTTGTGAATTACATTATTTTCTAACTAAAGGGTACAGCATTCTGAAAATACCACAATATCATATTGAGCTGAAATTGTCATCGGCATATGTTTATCAGCAGTCTATCGGTGTCTGGGTTGCCTTATTCTCTCATCCGAAGGGGTGAATGAACTACGATTAATTAGTTTAGGAGGCCGGAGGCCGGAGGGGTGGGGAGGGATAAACAAAATAAGGCAATCACTTTCCTTTATTTTAATAAAACGTATAAAAGTAATTTGAAAAAGAGAGCCAAAGAATGCCGTCTTCATATTCCTCCTTATTTTGAGTCCTAGTTAAAAGCCAAGCTTTGCTTCATTTTTATCTCAAAAAAAATTTGCAATGGACTTTTGCAATGAATCTTACATTAACATATTTAATACAATAAATATTACTTTTTTCAAATCGAGAGGAAGGGGGCATTTATTCAAATTTGTCGAAAATTTCAGCGAATTTAAAAAAGACGACTTACCGGTTGCTATAAACAAAGCAGACTGACTGAGCGAGTAGTCACTAGTAACCAGTTACTAATTGTCTTGATTACTATTCAATTAACCTTCTACATAGTCCGAAACGTGCTGTTTCTTTCTTGCCTCTGGTAAAGGCAATAGTCGCATAATTTTTAAAAATGGTTCAAATCAAATTAGAAAAACAATCATTTCTAATAACCATAGAACCTAGAATACCAAACTACAATAGTATCCATAATGTTTCAGGGAAAATTCATTAAAACAATCTCTAAAATAATCTCTAAAAAAAATCTGCCCTAATAAAAGAATTATGGGCGTTATTCCCGAAAAAAGACCATAGAACCAAAAAAATGACCAAAGTTTTCATAGGAACTCAATTTTGCTAAATATTTGCTATTTTCCACCTATTAAAATAAAAAGCACCAAATTACAATCACAAGCCATAGAATCAAATACGACTATTACCCATTTTCGACAATTAACCCTATTTCGATCAAGAATTGTTTTTTCCTATATATTACATTCCAAGGACTTAAAAAACACAAGAAATCAAAGTAAAATCTGTCAGTTTTCAATCTAGCTATCTGTAGTCTGCACAGTGGTGCACAAGAAGTGCTCAAACACAAATAAATATATTGCGTGAAAACTTACAAAAGTACAATGCACCAATATTTACATGGACTATCTGCACATTTCAGAAAAAACAGAACTCTGCCATAGAACAGAAAATAATTTTTTACAGTTTTAATGCATATTGGGCATAGAGGGAATTATGGCTAAAAGTCAACTTTTCCAAATACATAGAAGCACTTACTGTACAGAGGGCGATAACTCCTCAAAACTGACGTAAGAGGCCTAAATCTTGAAAAAGCCTTAAATTTAATCAGAAGTAAACTAAACTTTCTCAAACCTTAGGTTTAGGTCCAATAACAACAAGTTTCATCAAAATCGGTTGAAAACAAAGAGTAATAGCATATTCAAGATTTTCGGGGTAAGGACAATAACTCTGCTTCTAACGGTCGACAAATAGCTCAAATTCGAACTTGATCTTCGTTTTATGAGTATGTATACACTATAACTATTCTTCTTTACCATTATCTATAACTAATGTTCTCAACCATTATCTATAACTATTGTTCTTTACCATTATCTATAACTATTCTTCTTAACCATTATCTATAACTATTCTTCTTGACAATTATCTATAACTATTCTTCTTTACATTATCTATAACTATTCTTCTTAACCATTATCTATAACTATTCTTCTTTACATTATCTATAACTATTCTTCTTGACAATTATCTACCCCGGTGCCCAAATCCATCACATACAGTCAATCCTGGAATCATACGACCATGATCCCAAACCTACTACCATTATCCTTCATGTAGGCCTCAACAACCGTGATCAGCTACCAAAGACCTCCTTTAACCAAGCCCAGAAATTAATCGCCACAGCCAACAAAACCTTCCCAAACTCCAAGATCCTCTTCACATGTATACCCATTTCAAATAAAATCTCGAAGAAAGCACAACAGAACCTCAGCACTCTCAACAACATGATGATGGAGTCCAGTATCAACAGCGCAACAATCTTACCACCCTACGAAGAAGAATTCGAACCAGTTGATAATCTTCATTGGTCTCCAGAAACAGCAAACAGCATCTATTTGTTTTGGATACACCAGCTTCAAGCATCGAGTAAGTCTTTAAACTAATTACTGGGGATAAAAATACTGAGAGGCCACCGCTAGGCCAAACTGTAGTTAAGTCGAGCCGCAAAATTCTCACACCACTTCAGCATTCAATCTTAGACCGCGGACTTAAGTTTATTCCCACACCAAAGATAGCTAACTTGAATTATCTCCGACCATCCATTGAACGATTTCGACGAAATCTTAGCTGCACATATTTTTTTCGAAACCACCCCCCACGTGGTGCTAGAACAATGTTTATTCCTAAATCCACGTGGACACCCCCTCAGGCCGCCATCCATCCTGAAATATTGGAAGCATTTGCGAGTATGAATATCCAAACAGTGAACCTTTCCATAACACACGAAAAGCCTAATCTCACACGAGTGGAACGTGAAGCGTTAAACTTACTTAAGAAAGACGATAGCATTGTTATTAAAAAGAGTGACAAAGGTTCGTGTTGTGTCATTCTGAATAGGGAGGATTACGTTTCAGAAGCAGAGAATCAATTGAATAATCCTAAACATTATGCCATTTTACCAAAACCAATTTTCAAAGAAACTGCTAACATGATTAATAATATTCTTGCCGATTTAGTCAAAACTAGTTATCTCAAACAGAAACAATATGACTATCTGTCTGCCAAACCTGATTGTCGCGAGAGACATTTGTACACCTTGCCTAAAATCCATAAGAATCCAACCAAGGAGTGGTTTATCTCGAATAAAATCCCTAAAGGCCGCCCGATTATATCTGACTGTGGTAGTGAGTCATATGCAGTGTCAGAATACATTGATCATTTCTTACTACCGCTAGCATGCCAACATCGCGCCTACCTTAAAGACACAACCGATTTTGTCAATAAAATAAAAAATCTTCGAGTTCACTCTAATGCTATTTTAATTTCTATCGACGTTTCTTCTATGTATACCAATATCGATAACTCTACTGGTTTAACGGCAGTTCGTAAAGCTTTTAATAGAAACCCAGATCCAAACAGACCCGACGATGCAATTCTACAGCTTTTAGAGATTTGTCTTAGTCGAAATGATTTCACATTTAATGGTAAAACATATTTACTTCAGGGACAGCAATGGGCAAACGATTCGCCCCTTCGTACTCAAACCTTTTCATGGCAGAGTGGGAACGTGAGGTGTTGCCCCTCTGTCCATTTGACCCACTTTTTTACGGACGCTTTTTGGATGACATTTTTATGGTTTGGACTTATTCTATCGAACAGTTTTGGGAATTCTTTGAAATTCTCAACAACCACCATCCTTCTATCAAACTAACCACAAACGTGAGTGACAAAAGCATAGACTTTCTCGATACCACAGTCTTTAAGGGAGATTCCATAGCAGAAAAAAATAAACTGGATATTAAAGTGTATTTCAAAGAAACTGATACTCATCAACTCTTGCACAAGAGCCCCTTTCACCCAAAACATACCTTTTCTGGTATAATTAAGTCACAAGTTTTACGATTTCATCGAATTTGTACAAGATCTTCTGATTTCAACCAAGCCTGTACGATTGTTTTCTCAAAACTGAAAGAGCTTGGGTACTCTAAACGATTTTTACGAAACATAAAAAAATCCACCTTAGCACAGATAGCAGCTAAAAACAGACTATATGCCGAAGTACCTCCAGGTTTAAGAAGTGCTCCATGTTTGTCCAGTAGATGCAAAACATGTCCCTTCATATCAGAAACTCATTATTTTGTAAGCAACTCTACGAATAAAAGGTACCGGATCCAGGAACATCTAACATGTGAACATTCGAATGTAATATATTTAATTTCATGCAAGAAATGCCCCAAACAATATGTAGGAGAAACTAAGAATAATTTACGAACTCGCGTTAATGCTCATAGGTCAGACATCAAATTAAATAAAGACAAGCCTGTTTCTAATCATTTCAACCTCGACGACCATTCAATAGACGATCTCACCCTAATCCCAATTGAGCGTATAGAAATTGACTTGCCCGAAGATGAAACTATCAAATTCCGTCAATCTAGGGAGGCCCATTGGATTGAGACATTGAATACAGCAAGACCTATAGGACTAAATATTCATCATAATGTAGGCTTAGCACCCTTTGTTGTCCCGTTTAATACAACCAGCAATCGAGCAAGCAAGATAGTTCATGCCCACTATAAGAGCCTTCAAGAGAAATTCCCCCATGTTTATAAGCAGAAAATGATAGTTGCATATTCAAAAAATAAGAATAATATAATATAATATAATATTGTTCATAGTAAACTAAAAACAATCAGTATATAACAGATACTATACTTCTCGCCCATCGGGCGAGTTATTTTTTCTAATTTCAGATCAGAATAAGAACAGAAGAAAACCCAATATCAAGACCATTAATCCTAATTTCTAAATAAAGTGTCTGCTCCAACCTAGGCCTGTACATTTGGAAGAATCAAACCCTCCCTTCCCCGAAATCTAAACCATTATCTATAACTATTCTAAACCATTATCTTTAACTATACTTCTAAACCATTATCTATAACTACTCTTGACCATTATCTATAACTATTCTTCTTGGCCATTATCTATAACTATTCTTCTTGGCCATTATCTATAACTATTTTTCTTGACCATTATCTATGAGTATTCAAAACCATAATCTATAACTATACCACTCAACCATTTGCAGCGCAAAGTTTCGACTCGAATTGACAATGGCTTACATCATGCTGGCGGCACTTTATGCAGGTATTTCAATTTTGTGTTGTCCGTAGTAGAAAAATCATATGTGTTCTGAAATCTTTCAAGGGAATGCTGTTTTATTGTCCTTTGTACTCTTCATTCCCAATACAATGCAATTTCTCATCGGGTCATTTCCACACATAATTTTTATTTCAAAATATACTGTGGTGGGATGTTAGGGGAATTAGACATTACTCTCGTGACAACACCATTTTCCGAATTGCAATAAGCAATCATTTTCATATGAATTGAAATATCAATTAAAAATTACTACTGAGAGTCTCGGATTGTCTTTGGGTTGATGAAAATGCCCACAAGGTGCAGAAGAGTAGGACGTAAAACTCGATTCATTTCATTTTCATTTTGCTTTCCCGACGTTCAAATACGCAATTTCTTTCAATCATAATATTTCCATCGCCTATAGCAACCATCTTTTATTCAGTGGCGGAGCCAGGTTTATGTCCGAGGGGGGCGTAATATCTGAGATTGCCCGAATTTCTAATATAGTTGTGAGATTTTTGCCCCAAAAACTTGCTCTCGGGGCTGCGAGGGGAGGGGGGCGGCTGCCCCCTCCCCCCCCCCCTTTGGCTCCGCCAATGCTTTTATTATCTGGCACGTGCAGCATGCATTTGCATGTCATCAAAGGTGGATAATTTCAATATTATTGTGGTCGGATATAAAGATAATAATCCGTAATAAACAATAAATACTTCAAAGTTAAAAAGAATTTTTTCACAGTTTTAAGCCGGCGTCCCTAAAATAGCAAACTAGCGGGCTAAAGATATTTTTCATCACTCAAAGTTAGGTCAGATTTTTAAAAAAAAAGTTTTAGATTTCAGTCTATGCCAGACCTCTCGGACCAGTGCGGACTGTACGACTACAAAATTAAACAAACGCATTTTCCAAACTCAAAAAAGTACTGACTGTTTAAGATTGCCTTTGGGATGATGAAAATGCCGATAAAAAAGTTGTTATTTGGATTGTACAGAGGGGAATTTACTTGTGAATATTTTTGGAGTGAAGTATATTTCAAATGTAAAATCATCTAATCTTGTTGAAGACAAATGACCTGTGTTACGTATAGTAGTTGGTGTATATTACGAGTACGAGAAAATGAAATGAAATGAATGGAGTTTTACGTCCTACATTTCTGCACCATGTGGGCTAATGAAGTACGAGAGATAGATTAAGTATTTTGGATTCACTCTATTCAGACACAGTCGAAATGATATTTTACATTTTTTCCAAGGGTACAATTAAAAAAAAAATAAATGGAGTTTTCCGTCCCTCTTTACGGCTCCTGATGGCAGCTGGCAACATCATGCAGAGTGTAATTAGACATTAGAGAGTGCTAATACTCTGAAATCATCCAGCCGTTTTTAATATTCAAAGATGTAGATCGTACGATAGATTTATAACGTTGTCTGAAAATACAAAGTAACCTCGTTATATCCCTTTAAGTGTGAAATCGTGTGGTCAAGAGGAGATAATTTCCTATGAGTGTTGTCTGTAGCCCCCATATATTTAATTTCATTTTATATCCCATAAATCAACCATTCCCATCCTTACATTGAATGACCCTTTTGAGGTTCACTCAAAGGTAAGGTAGTTGTAGTCTGTAGTCCAATAATTTTATAGTCTTGGTTTTTGTGATTGGATACGGTAATCTCTGCGAAGTCGATTGGATGGCTTTGATTTATTTCGTAATTATAGTACTGCCTACATAATTAGAAATTTAACAAACCGCCTACTACAAAATGTTTGCTATGCGTCTTGGATTATTTAAGCAAATAAAATGGTACCTAACTAAACAAGACGTACGAATAAACAAACCGTCCTTTAACAATGTGTCTGAAAATAGGATTTTGAGATAAAAAAAAATCTCCATTTAAAGTTACAAACCTCTAATTCTATTTTGTCAACACGACGGACAATGTCAGCTTTTGAAGTAGCTTGTAGGTCTAACTTTAAAGAATGTAATTAAATATTGCTTCCTGTACGGTGCACTGGGTACATTTAATTAATTAGTCAGACCCACCCCTTTAAATGTATTTTCAGTAACCGTACTACTCATTGGAGTGCAATTGAAAATTGGAATATTTTTGGTGTTTCGCAAAGAATCTATCTGATGAGCGGGAATCATAGCAATCCGGTTACCCACTGTCCGTGATACAGGTCGGAGGGGCTGACATGGTCAAAGCGTCTATTCGTCGTATAAGACAAT